GTGTGTGTGTGTGTGTGTGTGTGTGTGTGTATGTGTGTGTGTTTGTGTTTGTGCGTGTGTGTGTGTTTGTGTTTGTGCGTGTGTGTGTGTGTTTGTGTTTGTGCGTGTGTGGGGGTGTGTGCGTGTGTGGGTGGGTGGGTGTGTGTGTGTTTGTGGATGGGTATGTGTGTGTTTGTGTGTGTGTTTGTGTGTGTGTGTGTGTGCGTGTGTGTGTGCGTGTGTGTGTGCGCGCGCGCGCGTGCGCGTGTGCGTGTGCGTGTGCTTGCGCGTCGATATGTTTGTATAAAAATCTAGGTGTGACTTAAAACGTGTGGTACGTGGGTTTGTATTGATGGATGTGACTAATGCTATAAACTCGAATGTCGCTTTAGCCAGTTGCTATTGTTATCATCAGATCTAACTCTTTGTTTTAGTAGAGGTGTTACGGCACTCGCAACTACATAATATGGTCGTATGAGCGCCAGAAGATTAGAGGTGTTACAAGAGAGTGAATTCCTGTCACGAATCTAGAGCTATCTGCATGACTGTACAGTTCAGTGTAGCATCAAATAATGACCTTTTTCATTTTTCAAGGGACATTATCCCGCTGCCAAGATTAACGATAGGTTATGGAGATTTATCCTTGATCAACACTCAACAACACGACATAGTGAGCTCACAGATCTAATTTAACAAAGAACGACAATTGTTTAAACTGTTTGTTTTACGTACATATGCAGAAATATTTGATGCCCGAAAATTTTCGCACAAGAAAAATAAAGACAGTTGAATCAATGCTTTTTTGACTGAATAACAGTTTGCAATAACTTGTTAATTATCATAATGTTAGTCATTACTAAAGGGCAAATACTTACAACAGACGTAGCAATTTTTTATATTACAATTACGTCCCTTGGATGAACAAGTTACCCTGTGTGTCGACTGGCGGTTCCTATTTCTTTTTAATGTTAATGTCACTGTTAAGTGCTCTTGTTTTAGAAAGATGGTTACGGCAGTTGCAACACAATAAGGTTATATAAGTGCCAAAGATTAAGGGTGTTACAAGAGAGTAACAAACACAAAATAGAAGGAGGGGAGATAAAAGACGATAGATGTTTGATAGGAAAGAAGGTCTGCAGGAGCAAACCACACCATAGCACCCGCCAATTACCCACAATGTGTTCTTGGAGATGGCAGTCATTCTGGTTTCCTATATAAGCAACAACAATAATACCTTTTTAAAATCAGAAACAACAGCAACAACCCCAACAACCACCTTCACTACCATCATCACCACTTCCATCACAACAACAACATTTTTACGACAACAACTACAACAACAAAAAACAGGAACAACAATAACAACAGAAACAAACTTTAACAACAACCATCGCAACTGTTCTACAACAGCAACAATAACAACAATACATTAAGAACAATACATCATCATCACAACAACAACAACAATAACAAAAACCAAACGATTATCAACAACAACAACAAAATAACAACTACGACAGCAACAACAGCCGCAATAACAGCAGCAGCAGCAGCAGCAGCAGAAGCTGCAATAACCAAAAAAAACAACAGCTACAGCATTTATAATTACCACAAACAACAACAACAACAACAGCAGCAGCATAAACAACAACAACAACAACAACAGCAACACCACCACCAGCAACAACAACAACGACAGGTCCACTACTCACGTGCCGTAGGCGAAGCACTCCAAGTGCACGTCCTGACCAGCTAGCGGGGGCTTGGGGAACACGGCAATAAACTCGTCCTGGATCTCTGGGCCCCAGTCCGCTTTGGGGGCTTAAACGTGGGGGGGGGGATGGGTGGTGAAGGGTGGGGTGATAGATTTTTTAGGAAGATTTGATTGAGATTAAACATCTGAACTGGAAAAGAGGCCGAGGGTAGGAATGGGTGGGGGTGAGAGATAGAGGG